TAGATCAGTCAAAGAACCCTTTTGATATGTACACAATGAATCTAATCTGAATTTCAAACGACTAAGCTGATTTTAATTTGCGTGACGTTTTGCTGTGATCACGTGCAATAAGCGCCTTTAGAGTGCGATTACAGAAAAGATCTTCATGCGATGGGCGTCGAATCACCAGGAGAAGGAAATAAATTCGTAATGAGATATGCATAAAACAAAGCACGCCAGATTTTCCTCCGGCATCATGAATCTTAAAACAAAGAAACAATGAAACTGCACACTTACCTGGCAAAGGACTTCTGAAGATCTGCTCCAACCGAGTACGTCTTTTTAAAAATAAGAGTGGCGCAGGTTGTTCATAGTCGTTGGAAGGTGGATGTACGTAGTACTCCTTTTAATGCTCTGAAGCTACCGACTTGTAATACCTTGACTAAATGTGTTTGTTGATTCCTAAAAGAGAAATTGTTGACAGCGTTTTGTTTCCTGGTTCTCCTAAATGTTTGCTGTTGCCTTAAACGTAACTCTTTGCAGCCCTTTTCAGCCTTTTCAGGGGCAGACGCTACGTTGTCTGGGCAGTAATTATCGTATTGTATTCCACAGCAGAGAATCTAGTCCTGGCAAAAATTCATGAAATTAGGTTACCTTTTTTCTCTTTACGAAGTATGAAGTTCAACATGTAGCCAGTTAGGGAACTGCTCAAAACGATCTGTTTAAAGGAAAAGAAGAATATGCCTGCAATGATTTCTCTCTGCATGCGCATTCCAAGACAAACAGCCGATTGATTGCATGACGTTTCTAAATACTTCCTTTTACGGGGCTTCTACCGGAAGGATATCATTTCAACCTAGTCTTGTAGGATGGGGGGGGGAGGTTATTTCTGACAGCCATTGTCGAGGGGCTGGTGCAAGTGAGAGTCAGTTGTGAGGGGGCTTATTCAAAATTGGATATTCAAATTAATTCAGTTATTTATTATTATTTTTATTCTTCTCATGTTCCCTTGCGCTTCGTCACCAGTCACCAGGCGCGTGTCACTCGAGTTCGCCAGTCCTCGAAGAAGGCAGGCTTTATACTCGAGCGAAAAAAGCCTCTGTTTAAACGAGTCAAATTGATATGATCGATCAACATAGAAGTGAATAAATAAATTAAAACTGGTATTTTCGCGTGTTATTTTAGGCTGTTGAAAGCCTTCGATATTGACTTTTCCATGTTTTAGTCAGATCGTCACGTTGTTTACTCTTCTTTTGAAAGAAATCTTATAAATCATGAGGCTGTATAATATCGGCGCGCAAGATGAAGCAAATCATGTGTTAGCTTGTGTTCTGACCCTTGCGGGGAAGATGGCCCGTCCCTGTCTTGTTCGGCCGTTTTGGCCATATAATACCCCGGACAGAACAATCCCGGGTACAAAATGGTCCTTCATTGACCGCGCTTTTTCGGTATAGATGGCTGAGTACAGTAAAAACCCGCGAGTAAGGAACTTGGTTTTTAAGATCCTGTTGGGCTCGTTCTATCCATGAACCAGTTTAGACTAAAATATGAAACAAGTTCCTATTTTTTAAATCTATAAAAAAATTCTTTACACTTAGGAAAATAAGGTAAGTAAACATTCAGGATCCTTTTTAAAGTGCCTTACCACTCCAAGTGCAAAATAATTATGTAATGGTATGCAGATTTTATACAAGGAATCTGAGCTGAATATCACTAAATACTCTTTGCTACAGTGAATTTTTTAGTTTTCCTCAGAGTTAGGAATCTATATAGCCTAAATTTGTTCCAATTACTATTTTTAAAGTGGGGTCCTGTTTAGGTTCACGTGGGAAAATGCAGATTCTTACGTGGAATTTTGCCGTATTGGCCTTCAATATCAATACTCTCTCGACCACTTTTAAGTTTACCGTGCGGATAATTCATCTTTCTCTATAAAATTATGCGTCATTGGCGGACGAAGCGTAAGGTAACTGAGATAATTGTCCTTTTTTGCGGTGTTTTAAGCACCAAGACGAAGTCGCCAGGTCGATAAAAACGCAAAACGGAGCACGAATCAGGGTAGTGTGCTTCGCATTGGCATGTTTCCTTACGCTACACTGCCTGAGGAGCAAACTTCAAGCTTTTTTTACAATAACTTAGCCTTGGACGTTGGACATAATATATAAAAAAACTAAGATCAGCAAAGAACAGTCAATGACTCCGATAGCATAAACGTCTAAATCAGTTCAGGTCAATCATAAGTGACATGGACTTGAAAGAAAAATGAAATGTTACCCACAACAGCAAATTATTTGATAAGGCTACGAGTTTTTATAACGAGATTCATGTTAAAATCGTAAAGAATTTAAAATAATCACATGAAAGCTATATTCGAGAATTTTTATTGGCGTATTTACAATGTACTTTCAGGCATAAGACGGACCTAAGCTTTATAAAAAATTAAGGGCGAAAATGGGATAGCTCTTGAAAAAATCCAACCGGGGACAATAGTTATGGATCGAGTGTTAATCGGGAACAGAATATATATATATATATCTTAAAAACTAAAGCACTTAATAGGATTTTTCAATATTTGACTCACCAAGCTATGTACATTTCAAAGCAGTAAAATTTTATGCCAATCCTCGGTTTCCAACGCATCGAGGAAACTGTTTTGGTTTAATTGTCGTCGGCCAGTGATAAATATACATACTGAGGCGCTTTCATTTAAGATCGAAATAATCGTGGCTGATCTAAATTGATTGTCTAAGTTGCTAAATGAAGTAATTCTGTGATAGTCTTACTGTTTCTGTCAAAAAAAAACTGTTTCTCATCGCAAATCACCGGGATTAATTTTCGAGTATTTATAATAGCACCAACAACCTCCCCATGGACTTTAAATTATTTCCGTCGTTTCCGACTCAACTTCTTGCCAACAAACAGCTTGTAATCCTCCTCTGACATCTTAATGCGTCCCACTCTTCGTTGCGTTTTAGCGAGTGCAGCATTCGCAGAGCTCTCATGGGATTGTGGACTGGGCTTGTTGTCTCTTCTCCTGACGTCAAATTTTGGCGTGAATTTCGGTGCAGGGCGGACAAATATCACCACTGGGGGTGGATGTAAACGAGCTGATTCTTGAATTAGCTTTGTCGCCTGTTCGGGATCCCATTCCGTGAAATTTGAAGAAACGAAACTCGGTGACTTAGTAACATAAGCCCTTTTTCGTTCGGCCATTTTCCCTTTGGATCCTTCGTTGCTAATTAACTTGCACTTACAGGGGACCGCCAATTGTATGGTAAACTATTTACGCACGGGAAGTAACTAGAAAGTCTTCATCGGAAATGAAAACAGAAAAATATGCTAAATATAGGCGCGGTTGAACGACTATTAGAAATGGTTTGCCCATAACACACCCATACCACTTTACGTTGCAGGCTGTAGTATGCTCAACAAAAGATATTTTATAGAAAATTTAACTCCCACCATTGTGAATTTTAGGGTGCGTTCCTTTGGGATAATCCGGATCAGGATCAGTGATCTGAGATCACTCGGATCATGGTAGATCAAATGAACCGATGAATCCTTGTCCAGAGTGGATTTATCGGTTCATTTGATCTACAATGATCCGAGTGACCTCAGATCACTGATCGTGATCCCGATCATCCCAAAGCATAAATTGCTAAATGCAAAAACGTAAACAACAAAAAATTAAACAAAAAAGCGACTTAAAGCAATGTACTCTACGCTTATTAAGATATAGTAACATTTTAAGTTTAGTTCCTTCTTAATCCAGTTAAAGCTTTTTTTTTTTTTCAAATAAGATCTAACCGATTTGAGCAGTCTAAATATAAAAAAATTCTCTCACAACGAATAGAAAAAAATAAAGAAAAGTCAAATAATAAGCCCTTAACAAAAATAGAAAACACCGCAAATTGGCACACAAATGTCAGAACTGACCGCCCAGACCATTCCCGTCGTAATAATAATTAACCTTTTAATCAAAACTATCCATCCAGATCAGTCATATCCTAAATAGCATGAAAGAAGGAGATGCTTTTTCAGCAAAAACTCCTGGGAAAAGCCTATTTCATTGTCAAAATGACTGTTCAGCCATGGTACGGCCGGCTAGTTCCGACTTTTGAAAAGCACCCTAAGACTCCAGCCAATAACTTACACTTCGCAATGTGCCCGAAAATACTAACAGTTTTATCAGTTCTCTAAAACTCAAAAGCACTAAAACATACTTTTCGCTGCGTACTATTTACAAACCATTTCCAGAACGTAAATGGAACATTTCTTTTTAAGTCGTTCCGGTGGAAAATTTTAGAATGGCAGTCGGAGCGCTTACCGCAAACGGAACGGTTCATTCCGCTGGATGTTTTCCGATAAAAGGTAATACTTTCCGAGATATTAGACTCTTACAATTCAACCAAAACTTTCGAAAATTTGGAACCAGCGGCAATAATGGTACAGAAATTGCCAGGAAAAGTTTCCAAAAATTCCGGAAACTGGAGAATTCCCGAAAAGTGAGCCATTCAACCGAAAATTCTGGAAAATTCCGGGAGCAAAGTTGAATGGAAAGAAACCTTCCGGGAAAAAGTTTTTCGAAAATTTGGGTATACATCGTCTTGAATTTTACTTACCATTTGCCCAAACTGTGAACTAACCAGTTTGCCCATGTAAATGGCCCTGGGAAATGGTAAACAACCTTTATTTCCGGATGTAACTAAAAAAGAAGTGAAATCTCTTGACTTCGGTAACTGACATTTCATTTAATATTTCACTAACTGGACAATTTGTAATACATTTGTACTGCAATGTGTAATGAGAATTTTATCAACAGTACCAAACACACAAAATGAACAAAAAAGCTTTGGGTACAAAAATAAAATATCGGTTGGGAAACATTATGTACATATGCTACATTGGAACAAAACACTTCCAAGCATTTCGAACAATTAACACTTCATTCTAAAACTTCGCTTGCTGTACAGCGTGTACACGTGTGCGTCGTTGTTATCTAGCTGAGCGTGACACAAGTC